GATCATGGAGCGCCAACTTTTTTGTATATTTTTTTTTCATTTTTTAGATAATGAGAGATGTTACAAAGATGATTTTGATAGTTAAACTATCTAAATTTAAATTTAAAATTTTGAAATAAAAGTATTCATGCTCTCATTCGACAAACTGACTTTTTTTTCTCAAAATATTATAAATAAATTGGAATATTATAAAGAAGAGGTTGCTGGTTAAACCAACTAACTTTGAATTCAAAATTTGAAATTAAAATCATCCACACCCTTATTTCAAATTTCTTTTAATTTTCAAACTATTTATTAAAAACCTCCAATCCAAATTATCTAATTTTCAATAATTAATATGTTGTAAGTCATTGGATTAAGCCATTTATATCCTTATGTCTATAAAAAATGGAGTATATATAAAAAATAGAAAAGAGAAGTAGCAGTTAAAAAAATCTATTCAATTTAATTTAGGAGAACATACATATCACTAAAGAAGAAATCTCTGATGACCAAAGAATAGATATAAAAAAATCAAACGTCTACCCTTCCAAGCTAATGACATGGGTTCAATTTTCGTTAACTATTCCATATTACATATTCTACATGTGAGACTCACTCGTGCTTGCACGGGCACAATACTTGGATAATAGTATATTGTAATATCAAAATGGTTCCATAATATAGATAATATATATATATATTATATATATATATATAATATATATATAATATATATATATATATATATATATATATATATATATATATATTATATATATAATAGATATTTGTAATATCAAAATGTGTTTGCATAATATATAATATATATATATATATATTAATATATATATATATATATATATATATATATATATATATATATATATATGTGTGTGTGTGTGGTGTTGTGTGTGTGTGTGTGTGTGTGAAAACTCCTATCAACTTAAGTGGATAGGAAATAGTTGTCCACCAAATTTTTTATCTATGGATCTTGCCTAGAGATCCTTGCATGATATGAAGAGACTTTTTATATTAATAAATGAGTGGCTAAAAGTGTTGGTAGACAACTTCCCTATCCACTTAAGTTGAGAGGAGTCTCTCTCTCTCCTCTCTCTTCTATATATATATTATATTATATATATATATATATATATATATATAATATAGTATATATATATATATATATAATACCAGACAAATCAATATTCTATGAAAGTATAATGTGTATATACAATGTAATTTTCATTGTTATGTACATTAAATCTAAAAATCGAACAACTTTTGCCTTATATAATCACATGGAGTTGCTACAGGGATTTATTTTAATTGTCATTGAACATGGATAAGAGAGTCCACTACATGGATAATATCCATGTTTTATATACATATCCACATGAGGAAAACAAATACGAATACAATAGTATAATTATTCTTATGTAAAGTAGAAGAAAGCAATCTTCATGGCTAACAAGCATCATTGCAGGTTCCTTGATATTTCCTTAATTCATATGAGTTAAGGGCTTTCATATATTTATTTATATATGATATCAGAAAATCCTTAATAATACACAAAAATTAAGGATGAATACGTATTACAAATATAGATATATAGATAGATGTACTGCTTATTATAGCAGACACAGAATAATGGATTATGTGTTAGTCTAAGTGCTGTAGACCTAAAGCTGGAATCAAAAGAAGAAGGAAATAGTCAAATCGCTGGTCGGTCGACTGGAGGAGGATATCCGGTTGACCGCAAACCCTGTAGAAAACTTAGGAGAAGATATCACTATGGCCGATCGACCGACGTACGATGACGGTCGATCGAGAGTGGTCATCCGGTCGACCGAATGTGATGGTCCGGTCGACCGAAAACGTGCACCAGACCCTATAATAAAACTATGTTCTGGCCGGTCGACTGAAACATCGGGTCCGGTCGACCGACGATGTTTTTTTCTAGTTTCCTGTTTTGATTGGGATTCTATATTCTCCCAGACTTCTATGTATACTATATGTTGTAGGGTTTAAAAAGACACGAAAAATAGAGGTTTTTGACGGCTCTTTGAGATCAAATTTCTTAGAGAGAGAGATGTCTATTGTGAGCATTGTAATCTTCTTCAATTAAATCAAAGGAATTATGTGGTGTGGCTCCCGAGGACGTAGACACGTTGCCGAATCTCTCGTTAAATCTAGTGTGTTCTTTCTTGTTTACTTTCCTGTAAGTTTTTTTTATTTACGGTGATTTTTCATACTTTCCTACTCTCAACACAAGGTCCAGAAGGGCACAGATTCGATTTGATTATTTCGAATCCCCAACAACTGGTATCATAGCTTCGTTCAGAAGGTTTGTGTGAGAGCCATGACAGAGGAAAGAAAATCTAAGATCGAGAAGGTTGACGGTTCAGACTTCGCCTACTGAATGTCGCAAATGGAGGACTATCTATATCAGAAAGACTTGTATCGCCCGTTGATGGGCAAGGCTAAGGGAAAAAAGAAAGAGGAGTTAGACGAGGATTGGGAGATACTGGATAGGAAGGCTTTAGGGTAAATCCGGTTGTCGCTCGCCAAGACAGTCACCCATAATATTTTGAAGGAGAAGACGACGGTTGGGCTTATGGAAGCGCTCGTGAAGATGTTTGAGCAACCGTCCACCGTAAACAAGGTGCATCTCATCAAAACCCTCTTCAACCTTAAGATGGCAAAAGGAAGGTCCTTCACGATGCACCCCAGTGAGTTCAACATGATTGTTGATCAGCTTATCTTCGTAGATATCATGTTCGATGACAAAGTGCATGCCCTATTGTATTATCGTAGTTGCCAGATAGTTGGGCATGTTGTATGACGGTAATCAGTAATTCGGTAGGGAAGGACATGTTGAAGCTGAGTGAGGTCATGAGCATGATTCTATCTGAGGAGGTTAGAAGAAAAGCATTTGAATCAGAAGGTTCAGGTTCAGCTCTAAGTTTTGAGTAAAGAGGCAGAAGCCAGAAGAAAGGGAATCAGAACATGAATCGGTCAAAGTTAGTCAAGAAGAGGTCAAACTCGAAAGTTAGGCCTATCAAAGGGAAGTGTTGGAACTGCGGCCATGATGACCATATGTCTTCAGTCTGCAAAGCGCCTAAGAAGGATGCGAGTGAGTATGAGGCTCATATCGTGCATGATTCCTTGATCCTTGCTATGGACAGTGACTCTGATTCTTGGGTCATCGACTCAGGAGCCTCTTTCCATGTCACTGCTAATAAGAAGCTTCTCCAGAATTATGTAGTATGGGACTTTGGAAAAATATATTTGGGGGACAACGAGCCTTGCAATATTGTTGAAAGAGGTGATGTGCAAATACAGATGAAGGTCTCCAAGTGGAATCTAAAGAACGTTAGACACATACCGAAGCTGAAGAGAAATCTTATTCGGTAGGATAACTTAGAGCAGAAGGCTATATTTCGACATTCACTGGGGATTCGTGGAGGATCTCCAACGGTAGAGTGGTTGTTGCCCGTGGTAACAAAACAGGAAATCTCTACCTCACCTCACATGCGAGTGACACCCTCGCAATTGCAGTTGACAAAGAAAGTACAGATCTGTGGCATAATAGATTGGGACATATGAGCGAAAAGGGGATGAAGATTCTACATTCACAGGGGAAGCTAACCGGCATCGATTCCATGGAAGTCGGTGTTTGTGAGGACTGTATCTTTGGAAAGCAGAAGAGAGTTAGTTTTCAGAAGGGTGGAAGGCTACCTAAAGCTCAAAAGCTAGAGTTAGTTCATACAGACGTATGGGGTCCAGCTAGTGTGTCTTCTCTTGGTGGTTTTGCGTACTATGTCACCTTCATCGACTATCACTCGAGGAAGGTGTGGGTATACTTCATGAAGCACAAGTCAAAGGTGTTCTGGATCTTCAAGAAGTGGAAGGTCATGGTGAAGAACGAGACAGATCTGAAGGTGAAGTGTCTGAGATCAGACAATGGTGGAGAATACGAGCTGGAGGAGTTCAAGAGGTTTGTGCTCTAAATGGGATTTATTTGGAGAGGACTACTCCAGGGACGTCACAACATAATGGCGTTGCAGAGAGGATAAACAGGACATTAACGGAGCATGCCAGGAGCATGCAATTACATGCTGGTCTGCCTAAGACATTTTGGACGGATGCGTTGCATATGGCAACTTACTTGATTAATCATAGGTCATCAGCTCCATTGTATTTCGGGATTCCATAGGAGGTTTGGAGTGACAAGAAGATCAATCTCTCACACTTGCGGGTATTTGGCTGTATGACATATGTTCATATCAGTGACCATGTCAGGGAGAAACTAGAGGCTAAGTCATAGAAGTGCACATTCATTGGATACGACATTGATGAGTTCGAGTATCGTCTTTAGGATAAGAAGAACATGAAGATCATCAGAAGCCAGGAATGTGATATTCAATGAGGAGGTGATGTACAAGAACATGGATAGTGCCAAGGATAGCCAAAGAAGTAGGTGCAACACTACAGATACAGGTGGATCCGAGTACATGGATTTGGATGAACTTCTACATAGGGATGACAAAGTCAATTCTGATCGAAGAACGGAGGAGGTTCCAAGTGCAGAGATGACTACCTAGGGTGTGGAGCTTAGGAGGTCATCCAGTATACCCAAACCGAATTCTAGATATTTCTCATCACTTGATTATTTACTTTTGACAGATAGTGAAAAACCGGAGTGCTATGAAGAGGCTATGCAAGTGAGTGAATCTCAGCAGTGGGAGCATGCGATGTAAGAGGAGATGAATTCTCTACACACTAATGAGACATATGAGTTAGCCCAACTACCTACACAGAAGAATGCCTTGCATAACAAGCAATGTTACATTAAACGCTGGGCGCTCCTGGGCGTCGGACTTGGCGCCCAGCGCTTAGACGCCTAGGCGGGCGCCTAAGCGGTTTCTGGACAGTTTTTTTCTTCTGGGCGGTTTTTCTTTTTTTAATTGTAATACTTGAAGATAAATATATATACTCAATCAACAATGCATAAAATACAAAAATACCAACATAACACATATGCTATCCAAAGTATAATAGTCAATCAAAGATGCATACATACTAAATGACAAGGCATATAATATCCAATAACTAGAAGTTTATGTCCCAAAATATCAGCAAAAAGATAGTCAAACGGGAATAGTCTAGATGTAATATAATGAATTAGCAATATGCATCTAATCTAATGTAAATGTCATCATCAAACATCATCATCATCATGAAGTTCCTCCTCTACTCCATCATCGCTATCCTCTCCAGAATCTATCTCCACACAATCCTCCTCTTCGTCTGAAACATCATCATCCGAGACAAAAGGCTCTTCTTCATCATCTATCACTGAAGTAGAAGCACTTGAAGGTCCTGCTAGCCTAGAACTCCTCCTATTCTCTACAGCCTCAGCCGCTCCCGATATACCCTCTACCATCCTCCAAGTAAGACCTGAGCTAGGATGAACTTCTTCCTCATCATCGGAGCCTGCTCCTTCTAGGATCCATGCTCGTGCCTTACTACGATCAGTAGATAGTAGTAGGTTCTTGTTTTCTCCTCTCCTCTTCTTCTGGTTGAGCTTTGAGTTAAACTTCACATAGACCAGTTCCTCTAACCTCTTCGATTCCAATCTATTCCTCTTCTTCGTATGAATCTTCAAAAGTAAATGACACAAATTAGAAAACACAACTAAGAAGAATTTCATATTTTTCATAAGTTTAGAAATTAGTTTACCCCTCAAATGTGCTCCAATTCCTTTCACAACCAGAAGAGCTACTTGTCAAGTTGAGAAGTTTCATAGCCATATTTTGCATGAAGGGACAATCACCACCATGCAAATACCACCAATTAGCTACAAAAGATAATATATTATTAGTTGATTCACTACCACAATGGCACAATAGATAACTTATAAGTCATATATGATTCAATTTCTAAAATTATTTTACCTGGGTTCAAGTCTGATTTCTCTCTAGCCTTCACCGCTCCAATCCTAGCAAATGAACCCTTTCCTTCTCTGTATCTCTCCAACTCTTGAGTATGAATTTCAACTTGTTGCTCTACATCAGGATAGAACAACTCCACCACATCTAGAAATCCATCTTTCGCCCTTTTGCAATTCTTCACTACATCATCCCTATAGAAATAGTAAGGGTTGAGATAGTAAGAAGCCATACGCAAGGGAGAAAAGAGCCGATCCTTGGACTTCCCATCTATAATATCAATCACGGGCTTAAAATCCTTCTCCTTATTCTTGAAAACTTGAATGATCTCCTTCTTCATATCTTCAAGCATCCCCACCACAAATCCCATTGAGGGTTTGTAGTCACTATCGACTACCCTCAACAATCGAAAAATAGGAGCATACACTTTCAAGATCTTGGCCACCGATGTCCACCAACTATCACTCATAGCAATCGCCTCCACCTTAGCGCCTTTAGCAGTCTTTGCAAGCTTGCATCTCACCCATGCTTCATCAGAAAACATAAATCTCAACTTCCCTTTCTTCTCAAGAAGACTCCGCAGAGTCAAAAATGTAGTGGCGAAACGAGTAACTACAGGTCTCACAATGTCCCTTTTGTCACAAATGCGACGCATCATAGACAAAGTCTTGTGATGACTATAAATAAAGATGGTGAGGGTCCTCGCCTTCTCAATTGCTCCTTTGAATAAACTCAACTTCCCGATGCTTTCAAGCATCAGGTCAATAGTGTGTGCTGCACAACTAGTCCAAAAAATCCTCGGCCTCCTCCTATATAAAAGCTCCTTCGCGGCCATATTTGCAGGTGCGTTATCCGTGACAACCTGAATGACTTTATCAGCTCCAATCTACTCAATAGCTGTATTAACCCACTCAAATATATAATGTCCTGTATGTGCTTCCTCTTTGGTTTCAATTGACTTATGAAAAGTTGTCCCCAATCTGCAGTGGATGCAAAGATTCATTACCGAGCGCATCTTTCTGTCCGACCAAGCATCAGTCATAATGGAACATCCAGTCTTGCCCCACTCCTCCTCATGCGTCTTTAAGGAAACTTTTGTTCTCTCAACAACTCTTCGCAATAAGGGCTCCCTCAACATGTACATGCTGGGAGGCTTGTAGCTCGGTCCATAGTCTCCAATAGCCATGCATGCCTTCGTAAAAGAATCCGTGGAGATAGCATGAAAGGGGATGGCATTTTCATATGCCCAAGTAGCCAACTGATCATGCACTCAATCTCTCTTCTCCTTCAGGAAAGAATCCTTCACTTCTGTCTGCTTCATTTTCCCTTTCAACCTTTTCGCTAGCTCTGGATCATTAGCGGTGTAAGCATCCATCGCCTGTCTGCTTCATTTTCCCTTTCAACCTTTTCGCTAGCTCTGGATCATTAGCGGTGTAAGCATCCATCGGCCCAACAGTAGGCTCTCTAGACCTCTCTAGCTCTGGATCATTAGCGGTGTAAGCATCCATCGGCCCAACAGTAGGCTCTCTAGACCTCTTTGAAGATCCATCGCCTATGGAAGGAGAGATGATTTCTTCTTCATCTTTTTCTTCATCACACGGCCTCGTCGTGTGAAGTTCTTCTTCTAAGTCTATAGTGTGCCTCTCCTTAGCTTGCTTCTTCTTCGAATTAGCATCAATGACTTCTTTCACCCTCTGCTTATCTTTTTCACTAATCTTCAAACATGGTTTGGTGTCCCCCCTCAACCCTGCAAGATGCTTCTTAAATCGATGGATTCCCGCATTCACCTTGTGCCCACATAGTTTGCATTGCACCATATTCAAGCCACTTGCTGAGGAGTTGTCCCAGCCTGGCGTGAAACTGAAACCTTTAAAACTTTCCCATACTGGCCAAAGTATTCTTTACGCTCAAGAACCTGTCCGAACCATTTTACCTATATTAGTGAAATATCAAAATGAAGTACCAAATTGACCTTACTTGGTCAAAGAATAGGAAAAACCATAATCAATGATACATACGCTTTCATCAGCTAAATTAGAAGGCATTCCCATTATGTATACAAGATTTCTCTGCACCACACGGACACTACTAAGATGCTTCCTATCCTCTATGGCTGATGAAGATTTATTCTTTGCCTTTTGGGGCTTCTGCTTTTTCTCTGCACTTATTTCAGCCACCATCCTATTCACATATGCAAATTTTAACAATGAATACGATGGTTAGTTTTGCACAAGGACAAAGCAAACCACAGACCTTTTACAGTTGGCAGACATTCCAACAATTCTTTGCTTATCATATGTTGTGCGACATGCTGGACATCGCCCATCTGATCCTTCTTTTTCAGCCATTTCCATTATATGATGCCAACACCATACACATATCTATTAAAGAAAACATGGATAAATTGGTTAGACACTTCTGATCACAGTGACATACGCATGCATCCATAGACATCAAACTATACTTTGTATTAACAGGAAAAGTAGTCAGCATAGATATGTTAATAAAGAAATGATGGATCAGGCTAAAGTCCTCCTCCGAAGATTAGAAATAATTTTTTTCTGACAATATATAAAGCACACTACTACACAATGTTACATTAAACGCTGGGCGCTCCTGGGCGCCGGACTTGGCGCCCAGCGCTTAGACGCCTAGGCGGGCGCCTAAGCGGTTTCTGGGCGGTTTTTTTCTTCTGGGCGGTTTTTTTTTTTAATTGTGATACTTGAAGATAAATATATATACTCAATCAACAATGCATAAATACAAAAATACCAACACAACACATATGCTATCCAAAGTATAATAGTCAATCAAAGATGCATACATACTAAATGACAAGGCATATAATATCCAATAACTAGAAGTTTATGTCCCAAAATATCCAATAACTACAATGACCATTAACTGTACTTTCATTCGTTATTGCTCCAACTGCAAAAATTGCAACTAATTATTGTTCTATTTTGTAGGTCAAAAACTGCAACTTCATTCGTTATTGCTGTAAATCCAAATGTAGGGAGCATGAATATTATAGTTTCAGCACTCAACTCAATACAGATACACAATTATTGCATGTACAGTTGTAAGCTTTGAGCAAATGCAGAGAATGAATATGACAAAGATAAATGTAAGGAGTAAAAGTCTGTTGTGGACCGTGGTGATGCATATTCTGTTGTACACTCGGATACTTTTTCATTTGAAATAGAAAAATTAAACTTAAACAATTGAACAAATAAACTTAACAATTAAACTAAATATGATATAAATATATTAAGTTAACATGTAATAAATTATAAATGCATATGACAGTCATAGGTGGCTAGGAGCAGTTAATTTCCATAAGCTTGAAACAACAAATCTCAACTTCACTAGCCTGCTAAACTGAACAACATATAATAAAAAAACCTCACAAGTAATAAGAATCTACCAAACATGAAACATCAGCGGATTAAACACAGATTTTACCTTTCCAATCAACATAGATTTCTCTTAAACACAGATTTCAAATGATCAGCGGATTAAACCCACAAGTAAGCAACCCAATAAAAATTATCAACCCAATCTTCTTAAGAGCACAGCCGAACGGAAAGTCCAGCACGAGTTTGAAGTCGTGTTTTACTAAATGATCAGCGGATTAAACCAAAACCCAAGTTTGAAGTCGTGTTTTACTTACAGGCTGAAGATGAGAACGAAAGTCCAGCTCGAGGATGAGAACGACCGCTCGAAGATGAGCTCGAAGTTGGAGATGAGAACGATGAGCTCGAAGATGAGCTCGAAGTTGAAGACGAGCTCGAAATTCCAGCACGAGGTTGAAGACGAGCTCAAAAGTCCAGCACGAGCTCGAAAGTCCAGCACGAGGTCGAAGACGAAGCTCCAGCACGAGGTTGAAGACGAAGCTACAGCTCGAAAGTCCAGCACGAGGTCGAAATTCCAGCATGAGGTTGAAGATGAGCTCGAAACTCCAGCACGAGGTTGAAGACGAGCTCGAAACTCCAGCACGAGATCGAAGGCGATTTTTTCTTTTTGCTGACGGCGTCGGTGAATCTGTAAAAGAGATTTAGGGCTAGTTTCGGTTTTGGGTTTTGGGTTTTGGTTTTGGGTTCGGGTTCTTGGGAGCGCCCAGGGATTTTTTTGGGCTGGATTTTGTGAGGCGGCCCGTGTAATCGGCCCGCTTAGCCCTGGGCGGCCGCCTAGGTACAACACTGATAACAAATAGGTCTATCGGGTCAAGCAGGAGAGTGATGGAAGTAAGAGATATAAGGCCAGATTAGTTATGACGGGGTTCCAACAGCGGGAATGAGTGGACTATATGGAGATATTTTCTCCCATTGTGAAACTCACAACCATCAGAGTGGTGTTGAGCTTAGTACCTACAGAAGATCTCTACCTTGAGTAGTTAGATGTGAAGATTACATTTCTTCATGATGACTTGGATGAAAAAAATCTACATGAATCAACCTGTTGGCTTCATTAAAGAAGGAAAGGAAGAGATTGTGTGTAAGCTCAAGAAGAACTTGTACGGATTGAAACAGTCTCCGAGACAGTGGTATAAGAACTTCGACAACTTCATACAGAGCAATAGCTATAGGAGATGCAATTCAGATCATTGTTGCTACTTCAAGAGGTTCGAGTTCAGCTTTATCATGTTATTATTGTATATTGATGACATGTTAGTTGCATGACCGTGTTTAGAAGAGATAAGCAGATTAAAGAAGCAGTTGGCAAATGAATTTGTTATGAAGGATCTGGGTGCAACGAAGCAGATTCTTGGGATGCGAATCAGTAGAGATAAAGCTGAAGGGACGTTAAGGTTGAGTCAAGCTGAATACATCCAGAAGGTACTTCAGAGATTCAGCATGCAGAATACAAAGCCCGTCGGCACGCCTCTTGGAAGTCAGTTCAAGTTATCTGAGGAGCAATCGCCTAAGACAAATGCAGAGAAGGATCATATGAGCAAAGTGCCATATTCATCAGCCATTGGTAGTCTTATATACGCAATGGTTTGCACGAGGTCGGATACTGCCAATGTAGTGGATATTGCGTATCAGTAGAGATGAAGCTGAGTGGACGTTGAGGTTGAGTCAAACTGAATACATCGAGAATGTACTTCAGAGATTTAGCATGCAGAATGCAAAGCCTGTCGGTACGCCCCTTGGAAGTCAGTTCAAGTTATCTGAGGAGCAATCACCCAAGACAAATGTAGAGAAGGATCATATGAGTAAAGTGCCATATTCATCAGCCATTGGTGGTCTTATGTAGGATATCCGATCGACTGGGGGAGGATATCCGATCAATCGCGAACCCTGTAGAAAACTGAGGAGAAGATATCACTCTGGCCGGTCGACCGACGCAAGATGGTGGTCGACCGAGAGTGGTCATCCGGTCGACCAAAGGTGATGGTCCGGTCGACCGAAAACATGCACCAGAGCTTGTAAGAAAACTATGTTCTAGCTGGTCGACCGAAACATCAGGTCCGGTCGACTGACAACGTTTTTTCTAGTTTCCTGTTTTGATCGGGATTCTGTTTCCACCCAGACTTCTATATATACTCTTATATGTTTTAGAGTTTAAAAGACACGAAAATAGAGGTTTTTGAGGGCTCTTTGAGATCAAATTTCTTAGAGAGTGAGAGAGGCCTATTGTGAGCATTATAATCTTCTTCAATTAAATTAAAGGAATTGTGTGGTGTGGCTCCCGAGGACGTAGGCACGTTGCCGAACTTCGTGAAATCTGGTTTGTTCTTTCTTATTTACTTTCCTGCAAGTTTTTTTTATTTGCGGTGATTTTTTTTATTTTTCTACTCTCAACACAAGGTCCGAAAGGGCACGGATTCGATTTGATTGTTTCGAATCTCTAACATTATGCGCTACAATTTAATACATTTAGTCATATATGTATTGACCACACGATATGCGTACAAAACTACAACTTTCTTGTCGAGTTTATTAGGTTGTCCTGAGCCAACAGTGGAGAAGTACTCTCTCTCCCTTCCCTTTAAATTGCAAAAACATACAAAAGGTTTATTTATATAGCGCTGTACGCAACAAATTTGATGTTAAAGTCAGACATCCAATCTGAAAATAGGAGATTAACCGTTTTTTTCGGCATATTAACACATGACATCAATTTGTCCAGACCCTACAAAAGCTGTCTTTTAAATATTTGCGAGTTCAAGTAGTACTAAAATCATTTGCATGTCGAGTCCTCTAGCAGATTCTATGGAGAGGCCTTTCCAGATATTTGTCAATGTTTGCTTGTCCTGCAAAAAAAAAAAAGTGTTACCATATTATTCAATACGGGTAGCGCAGGTTGTTTGGAAAGGCAGTGCTAATATCAGGTAAAAAAGCAAAAAAACTGTGTTTATATTGGTTACAATTACAACTTTAATATTAAAATGAGCTAATTTTCAATAGACCTCTCGTATCATTGTTTTAAATTTACTAACCTCTAGTTTTATTTACTTTTAAGATAGACACGCTAAATGGATTTTTTTTTATTTTTAGTTTTTTACCCTAAGGGGCTGTTTGGTTCGCTATTATAAGGGGTGGAAAACTCAGAAAACCCCTCCACGTCAGATTTTTCGCTATTATAAGGGGTGGAAAACTCAGAAAACCCCTCCACGTCAGATTTTTAGCCCTCCACGTCAGCTTTTTTGTTTCCGTCCATTTCTTTGTGCCACTTTGGTTCGCTCGAATGGAAGAGGGAAAACTCTGCTGAAATCGTCGCCAACTAAGATTTTTTCCCCTCTTCGATTTCCTTTCCCAACCAAGTAAAATTGATGAAAACTCTGTCACGTCAGATTTTTTCCTTCTCTGCTTTGTTTACAAAAGTTTTCCTTTTTTTCTATGCGAACCAAACACAAGAAAAATAAATACATTGGTTTCCCACCATTTTTTATGTGCGAACCAAAGCAAAACAATCTATTTCTTGAAAAAGTTTAGAAAACTCAAAACTTGTATTTCTTTACATGGAATTACATTTCTCTATATCAAGGAAACGAACCAAACGGCCCCTAAGAGAAAAAATTATCTTTTGACAAATACATCCCTTGAGTATAAAGGAGTCTTAATAAATTCACTCAGTATTTCAACTAACCCCCCCATAAGACTTGTGGTCGCAATAATTTCTGTGTTTGCAGTGCATCAATATTATTTTCTGTACGTACTAATATTTTAACTATTAATATTGGTTTAAAATTGCTTGTGAACACGTGTCATTTTTTTTTGTCCTCAGTTTTAGAGAGGACAAGTTTCTTCCGAGCATCGTGGTGTCGAGCTGGAACTGGAAGTCTGGAAGCATGTGATAATACAGATTTTCTAGGACATGCATCATGCATGTTGATTAGTTGTATATTTAGAGGGTGTAGATGGCAATCACAGGAAACAAAATAAGGGGGACCTTGGACTGTTTGGTGAAGCATGTTCCCTCAATTTAATATATCCTACATTAACTAAAACTAGTTAGGCTTATATTGCTTAAGTTTTAATATTAGTTAACAACGTTTGGTCTAGTTGTGGGGAATCTCAGTCTTGCTCAATCACACACGTGTGTGTCATTAGTTACTTAATCATTCAAGTAATTGTGGAGAAAACAAAAAAAACCAGTTTTTCTGTCATAAGTCGACTTATGGTAAGTCGACTTGTGTCTGTGCACGAGTCGATTTACGTTCTGCTCTGGAGTTGTGATTTTTCGCTCTGTCAAGTCGACTTGTGAAGCCTGTTAAGTCAACTTACGAACTGTTCTCCAGTTGCTGTTTTTCTCTCTACCAAGTCGACTCATGACACTACCTGTTAAGTCGACTTATGACGGGTTTTTTTCACAGTTTGGTTTTCTGTTTAGATTGTGATCATGTGGGTGTGGGGGCCACCCATGAATTCGTTTACGAGTGAGAGAATAGAGTTCGTGGGCTTTTCTACGTGAGCCCAAGTTCGTTTTTTGGCCACAAACCGCATGATTCTCCGGTTATATAAAGGAACAAATATTCACAAACCGCATGATTCTCCGGTTATATAAAGGAACAAATATTGTTCCTGGGGTTGTGCAGGAGGTTTTCGGGAGCGCGTGAAGTTTTGGTTCCTGGGGTTGTGCAGGAGGTTTTCGGGAGCGCGTGAAGTTTTGGCGGCTGCGAATTTCTTTGCGGCTATAGAGAAGGTGCAAAAGAAAAGAAAAGAAAAGGCTTTTCTTTTAGGGTTTTTTTGTGTATCCTTTTTGAGAGAGATTTTGTGAGGGATTTGAGAGTTTGTTTGAGGGTTTAGTTTGAGAGTAATTGTAAACCCTATTTGTATTCTCTCCCTCTATTAGTGGATCTCCCCCCTCCTTGCCCCGTGGACGTAGGCAATTTACCGAACCACGTAAAAATTGGTTGTACTGCTATTTGTGTGATTTGTAATAGCTTTTAGGTTCCCTCGACGCGCAGTCCTGTGTGAAGCTTGGTTCTTGGAGTTCTCGGCTTCGGTGGAGATAGCATTAGGAGTTGCCGTTGGAGATTTCGCTTTCCTCGTGTGGATAGGAGATCTATTTGGAATCCGATCTAGGGTTCAGTTGGGTGGTTCCTAATTCTATCAAATTTGTTCTTTCTCTACAATTTGGAGTTAGTTCGCAATGGGAGAAGAAGGTGAAAGCAGCAAATCGATGGCGAGTACAATACAAGTTGGTTTTCAGAACACTAAGATTAGTGTGGTGAAATATGACGGTAAAATCAACTTTGGTTTGTGGATGAGCGACGTACAGGATGCGCTCAATGCTCAGAATTTGGAAAAGACCATCATGGTCCACGAGAGGCCACCTAAATATGAAGAGGCGATATGGGAGAAGATGAATAGAAACGCTTGTGGGGTGATCAGGTCCTGTTTGGAACAGGAGCTGAAATATGATGTGATTGGGGTGACGTCTGCAATGAAGATGTGGGAAATTCTCAACAACAAGTATCTCACAAAG